TGGTCTTCCTGGGAGGAATGAGCAAAGGACACTGATGGTGTATGCCAAGACATATAACCCCGTGGCTAAGCCATGAAGTTCATCACATTTGCCCAGCTAAAGCAAGCAAGCACATATATTGGACAAGTGCGATACAGGAAGATGCTTCAAGTAGCTGACAGTGGCAACATAAAAGGCATAATTTCATACTGCAGGGGAGAAGCAATGATAAACTACTCCTATATTTTACCAAGAAAACCAGATGGATAGATACGATAAAATGATTAACAATAAAGTACAGACAATGGGCCCTCAGGTTGGATGGCACTCAACATACTACTGAGGAAGAGCTAAGGATCTTTCAATGTTCTAATGGTGTTTATGATGTGGTTAGATTAAAGCCTTCACAATGTCTGGTTGCTGATACTGCCACACAGGAAAAGAAAATCTGAGGCTCCAAACACAGAATTATAATGGACACACGGAACATAAGAAGCATGAACATGGAAAAGCTCAACACAGTGAAAGATGAAACGAACTGGTTACACATTGACATCTCAGGCATTAGTGAAATGAAATGATTGGAATTGTGCACTTTCAGAGGATTTACTACTTAGTAAATTTACTACTATTTACTACTTAGGAGATGAAAAACTAAGAAGGAGTGGTGTTATTTTCATAGTGAGGAAAAATATAGCAAAAATAGTACTTGGCTGGAATGCAGTCAGTGACTGAATAATAACAATTAGACTTTGCAGATTATCCTTCAGTTAGATGGTTATTCAAGTTTATACTCCAACCACTGACACAGAAGAAGAGGAATGTGACAGGTTTTATGATCAAGTTCAATTTGAAATCAACAGATCATACAAGCAAGATGTGCTATTTGTGGTTGAAGACTGGAATGCCAAAATTGGAAACAACAGGGAGGAAAATGTAGTAGGACTATATGGTCTAGAGAACAGACATGAAGCTAGAAAACAATTGTTTCTGCCAATCCAATGATTTTTTTCATTGCTAACACAGTCTTCAAAGAAAATTATGCTTATATACATGGGCATTACCTGATGGAACACACAGAAATCAAATTGACTATATTATTGGTAAAAGGAGATGGAAGAGCTCACCTATAAGGGCAATGATACAGCTGGGGCTAATCGTGGAACAAATCACAAACTGCTGATGTGCAAGTTCCAAGTCAACCTAAACTGGAAAAACAAATCCAACCAGCTTCCATGATATGACTTGAGCATATAACCACCATTTTCAAAAACATCAGGATTCACTTTGAAATCCTGAAACTCATTGATAGGGAACCAAAGAAAAATGGAATGAAATCAAAAAGTTGAGGATAAATGTGAAAAGAGAGTGCTAAAGACCAAGAAACCAAAATAGATGTCAGAACAGATGGTAGAAATTGCCAACAGGAGAGAAGCCAAAGCCAAGAAAGACAAAGATCTCAAGACATAACTTAACAAAGAATTTCAAAGAGACAAGAAGCAGTATTATAACATCTCTAAAGATGTGCAAGATGGAAAAACTTGGGGGGGGGGGAAATATGATTTCCAAGATCTCCAAACTCAGAAGGAGGCCTCAACCTTGCACTGGAATGGTAGAGGATGCCAATTGTCAGATATTAACTGATTCAGTTAATGAACAAAAGTAGAAATATACTGAAATTTTGTACTGTAGGAATATTAATATCCAAGATACCTTAGAAGATATTCCCTATTTACAAATACCTCTAATACTAGAAGATGATCAGTACCTTGGTCATCATAAAGTCAGAAAACTACAGGAATTGACAGAATACCTAGAGAAATATGGTTAGCAGCAGCAGAAGAATCAGTCAAGGTTCTAAGCAAACTATGCCAGCAAATCTGGAGGATAAAACAATGGCAAACAGATTGGAATAGATCTGTCTATGTACCAATATCAGAGGAGACTTAACAAAGTATGCAAACTATCTCACATTATCTTTAATTTCCATGCTAGAAAAACAATGCTTAGGATCATCCAATGCAGATTAGAGACCTACATGGAAAGGGAAATGCCAGATGTCTGAGCTGATTTTAGAAAAGGCTGTGGAACAAGAAATATTATTGCTAATGCATGCTGATAATTGAGAAAACCAAATAATTCCAAGAAAAAAATCAACATATGCTTCATTGGCTATAGAAAGGCTTTCAATTGTGTTGATCATGTCAACATAACACTGTGGGATCCTGGAACATCTCACTGTCTGCATGCAAAACTTATACACTGAACAAAAAGCCATAGTCTGGGTGAAACACAGTGAAACAGATTGGCTCCAGGTCAAAGGAGTAAGAGAAAGCTGTATACTCTCTCCTTATTTATTTAATTTATACTCTGAATATATATTGAGGAAGGTCCTGTGGATTTAGCCTGAAGAAGGAGCACAACACTGAGGAGAAGGACCATGTTTATTACAAGGATCATTGGGTGCCTGCTTTACAAGAAAGAGGGGCCCTGAACAATGGAAAAGCAAAGATTTTTACAGAAATTGAGGGCTGCAGGGTGGGAAATCCTATGGATCTGATTTGCTGGCCAGTTGGGGAAGCTAGACAGGTCCTTGCCAGTATACCAGGGGTGAGTTCTACTGTTAGGCAAAATGAGCCTTTCAAGAAGGCAACAGAGCTGAGGAAATCCATTGTTTAAGGAGATAGAATGCTGAGGTCATCAGCTGATGGAAACAGGAGGGCTGGGGTTTCTCTAGGTTGCAGTTTCCTTATAAGGGCTGCCCTTGGGCTGTGCTGTGAGCTTGTGAGGTGGCTTCTTTGGTTTAGATGGGATTGCAGGAGGGCTTTGTCTGCGGGGCAGGGAAGGTCAATTAGAGTCTGATGGGATTAGGCAGAGATAATTGGGTTTTGACCCTGGTCATATCTAAAAGACGTGTGTGTGTGTGTGTGTGTGTGTGTGTGTGTGAAAGGGTGCAGTCTCCATTTTGTTTGTTAGATTTATTTTCTCCACTACAAAGTCAGGATTGAAAGAATATGAGTGTGGTTTTAAAACTGATGGAAGAAACCTGAATAACCTGTGTGTACTGATGTCACATGATTGGGATTCTGGCACTTGGCAACTGGCTCACATCTACAACAGTCGCAGCATCCCACAGTCACGTGACCTCCATTTGTGAACTTCACAGCCAGCTTCTGGCAAGCAAGGTCAGTGGGGAAGCCAGTACGAAGTCACAAGTCACAGTCACATGACATAGCACTTAACAACTCGCAGTAATTTGCTTAACGACTGCAAGGGAACTGATGGCGTAACTCAGCACAGTCATGTGATGTCACACTTAATGACCACGTTGCTTAGCGATGGAGTTACCGGTCCTTATTATGGTCCGTAAGTGAGGGCTACTTGTAATAGCCACAGATAGCCACAAAAATGAACAAATGAATCATATAACGAATCAATTCAGAGTTCTCACCCAAAGCATAAATGACCAGGCTCAATTTATAATATTTTGGACAAACTGTGTAAAGGCCCAGCCCTCTTAATAAATCCAGATTAATGTATCCATAATCTTCAAACATGCCTGATTACCTTTCACATCCTAGTTTGTGGTTCAAATGTGTATATATACTAGATGTATACCTCAGCTAAACTAGTCTCACAGGATTTTTAATCAACCCTTGAAAAAGCAGGCAGAACTCAAGAATATAGCCAACAAATGTATATAACACTCTAGGTTTATATAGTAATATGTTATAAAGCTTCAAATGAACATATCAAAGGAGAACTAGATGTCATATCAGTTGACTTATTTAAAACCTGAATCTTTTTTTTCTCTGTATTCCATATACTGAACAATTTGC